TCAGGTCAGTAATCCATCTCAGGTCTGGCCTCCCCCAAGCGTGCACGGAGGAGGTCAAAAGCCAAGCAGAAAGACCTCCCTTTTTTATTTTGCAAGCCCCTACGAACAAAACATGGAGCACGTCTGCTCCCTTGCCACCTGTTCAGGGGGACAGGCCCCAACCGCCCTTCCTAAGACTTTACATCTCTCCCCTCCTGCAGCCTTCCCCACAGCCTTCTGCTCCTATGCTGAACCACATCTCCAGATAAAGAAACAAGTGGGCTATTCTGCCACTTTGAATTGGATTAAGATGAGCGGAAAGGAGCTTACAGCTGGCCACCATCTGCAGCAGTGATAATTAACTAATGAGGTTATGAAGATGTTTTTCTTGTTCCTTGCACAGATTTGTTTATTGAGAAATTTGCACCAGTGCGTGCATCATGCTTTCTGCTGCCCCATAACCCTGACTCAGTGCCACCTTCTCCTCTGTACGTAGGTATTCAAGCTACAAGCCTGAGCACAGGGGAAAAACTGGCTCCTTTGCCTGAAATACCTGGTGAAGCTTTCTTGCATTTTCTAATCATGAAGCACATATTTTAATCTGTGGCCTGTAATATGCAGGAAAGAGATGAAATGATTGTAAAAGCTCCTCCCAGCCTGAAAAAAACTCTATGTCTGGCAAAATTGAGAAAAGAAAAACTCAGTCCAGGACAAACTTTCATATATTCCATAAGAGGATCTTAAAGAGCATCTATAAACCCTACAGAATGTTTCCCCCCACTGGGAAGTGGGGGAAAACATCATTCCTCATTCACCAGTGAGAAAAGAGAAGTAGATAAACTCACAGATTTTTTTCCAGAGTCAGGCAAAATGAAAATCCCAGATAACCTGACAGCTAGCTCAATCCCTTCTCCCTTGGATCATGCTTTCTTGCTAAAATACTCTCATACCTTTCTTAAATAAAGCCATTCTCTACCTGTTCCAAACTACTATTTTATTTTTCCATTAAATAGAAGCTCCACTCTGCTCTCACAGCAGCTACCTTTAATTGGGGGTAGTGGGAAGGAAATAAAGCCTTCCCCGAGTGCCCCATTCCAACTTAAATCATGAATAAATCCTCAAAGGTCGACTACGGAAGGCAAGACTCTGATGTCAGTGGCCACTTTAGATGGCCTTTTTGGTTTCAAGGGCAATTTTACTTGGTTTTTAGTCAAAGGCTGGCCTCCCTCAGCTTTAGAGCATGCGTGTGAATCGTTGAGGGGTACCTAATATTTCTACTCATTATTTCTGCAGTCAACTAGAGTACAGAACTGACCATCACTGCCATGCATTGGACTGCACCATTCTCATACTGGGCACAATTTATAATCTGTCCTTTCCTGACTCCTTCTTATTGCTTTCAGAGGAAAGCAATCTAACCCAACATTTTTCAGTTGGAAGCATTACCTAGTGGTTGCAGTGAACTAGGAGAAGTTCACTAGGAGTGAACTAGGAGAGTTCAGAGGATGGACTTTAATTTTAGCTCTATTTGCTAGTATTTATCTGACTTACAAGGCTAGTGTGCTCTGCAGTCCCTGCTAATGATCATTCATGCCAACAATTTGCCAGTGTATACTGAGACTCCATTCCAGCTTCCTTACCTGGGCTTCCTTTCTGTTGGACCAAGAGCACTCAGAGAGGAAGACGCATGGCTGAGTTTCATCCCCCCCTCATTGTACTGGTACATAGCACAAGTGGAAGCTACCTGTGAACAGGTATTTAAGGAATAAATGGCTTGACCCAGTATGGACACCTACACTATAGACCCTCTGAACTGGCAGCCTACACTCTCTATTCAGCGTGCTCTATAGGCACAACTCTTCACATGCTACAGCTGCTGTCAATAACAGATTAGATGATGCAGCCCCAAGTGTGCCTACTTTTCTCCAGGGAATAAGGGAAGCATGAGATGTTAGCTCAGATACAGACCTCTACCTTGTAGACATCTAGAGTTAAATGAGGTGGATCCCTATTCTCAGCCTCCCCAGCCATAAAATGGAAGTAAGGGTAAGCATTTCAAAAAACTTTCCATATCCTAGAGTGAAGGTAATCAGCTAACTATGATTCTGAATAACTATTATCTAGTATCATCTAGTAATTGCTACTATTATTTTGGTGGCAGTCAGGAATCCATATTGCAAATCATGGCCTCCGTTATGCTTTACCTACAAAAATGTTGGTGATGCCCATGTTTTTCTCAAAAATGTAACATTCTTTTATTTTAATAAGGTCAGAGGCCTCCTAACGCCACCTTAGTTGCAGATGAGCTTATGCCTAGTAGCGTCAAACTGGCAAATCTCAAATAAGGTTTCCACACCCCATTACAGCAGAGCCTAAAGAGACTCTGTGGACATCAGTGGAATAACCTGGATTTATGCTAAAGTAAGAGATAGCACAGTCCCCTTTGGAGGTTGATTTTTTTTTTTTTTTAATTTGGGGGGGGGGGAAATAAAACTGCAAATTTTGCAATTTTATCTGGAGGAAAGCAGACACCTCTGGGCTGTCTACTTTAGGATGAGCTGGACCATACTCCAGGCTCTATTGACCAGGTCTCCACCTGCTGCTAAGGGAGAACAAACAACCATTATATGCAAGACACACACAGTAGAAGAATAAAGAGCTCAGTGGCTGAATTTACACAATGAATCCCACCCTTACTCCATGGGGGCTGTAGCCCAAACAAGCAGTCCCAATAGTCATGGCTTAATTTCAGATGCTTCTATTTCTTCTCCATCAAAGGAGATCAAAGTTGAGTCTTCAGCCAGGTCTGAATTACCCTTACAGGTGAGTATTGCCCTGCTGATTACAAACCAGAGACTGCTTGCAACATATCCTTCAAGGGACATAACCCAAGCAGAATTACGCAGTTCTGCATAATTTGCCTGGAATAATACTCCAAAATAAAAGATCGAAAGGATAGAAAAAGATTTTCCTTTTGTGTATTGTGCCCCAGCTTCTCTCCTCACCTTGCCCTCTCTGAAACTTCAGTCATGTCTACTGTGCTGTTTAGAAGTGCAGCTGAGAAGCTGGGGTCACGCCAGACATGTGTGAGGACTCCACATGGTGCGGCGTGTAACTTTAGACTGGTGTCACGTTCAGTCTCTTAAGGGATTGATTGCTGTTTGTCGTAGGAACCAGAGGAATCTCCTGAGCTTTAGCCTGTGTGAAGGAATGGCTTTGCAAGTTAAAGCTGCACAAGATCAGCTTTACCTTATGCTGTGGCAGTTCATTGTTTTTTTTTCCAAAAGAAGATTACATGCCAAGTTGCTCAGAGTGGGGATTTCCAGCTCTTTTCTCCTCTGAGATACTCGTAATGATTAATCATTTATTATCATTAATTACATTTTGGCAGTCTCCCGGGCCTATTTTACCTGTAAATCTCCAAGCAGTCCCAAGACATTAATGAAAATGGACTCATCTCAGAGAAGACTGTGAGTTTTGTGATTAAGTTTTTTGGAAGATCTTCTTGAGGAAAAGGATATTAGAACACATGTTAGTTTTGAGAAAATTTCTGCTGGGGATGCTTCTCAAATTCAAAACTGAGCCCCAGGCAAATCTACAGAGAAGAGAAAACACCACCAGTAGATAGCTGTTAACCCAGACTCAAGCCTTTTTTCTGAATTAGGAATCACATTGTAAGTCCCTGCTCCACACCCACAAAGGCTGTCCTCACCCTGTCCCTTCTTTGGGCAAACAGTCCTATAAAGTCTCAGCTTGACATGAGCCCAAAAACAAAGCCACAATTTATTTTAGCACATTTTCCCAGCTGGCCCTACTCACAGCAGCACCGTAAGACTAGTCGGCAACATTTTCCCTCTTTTACCTTTGCTGTGAGCAAAAAAGACATTTTCTGCTGAATATGAGACAGCAGCAAGTCATGTAGCAAACCCAGAAGTCCCCATTTCCCATCCCTTGTATCTATTAATAAACACTCCTTGCCACACAATGAAATTAGGCTCTTTAGTAGAAGACTGGAGAAATTTGCTGACTGAGAGCTACAAACTAAGATCTTTGACTCCCATAAAACCTTCTTTACATTGAGATATTGTTAGCACCTGTTTCTAATCCATTATTTAAATATTTAATACCTTACAACTGAAATTGCCAAAAGTGTTAGGTCTCACTCAGAAAAAGAGAGTAGAGTACAGCTGGGCCTATTTTGAGCAAATCACCTGTCCTCTGTTCATAGAGGAATGTGAACCAGCGCTCCTCATTTCCAGCAGATGCTTAGCACCCTCTTAGGTTGCCCTCCAGTGAACAGGACTTCAATTTCTCTGTATAGCCCTGGTTTACATATAGTGAAAGAACATCGTTCCCAGCCTCTCAAATGTATTCATCAAGAGATAATTGTGTTGCTCAGTCTGCATAGCAGAAGGGAATGAACACAGATCTCCCTGATTTTCTCAGCAGTCATTTATTGCTATCTATTAAAGTAATTTCCAGAACGAATAATGCTCAGTGGGCTACACATACCTATGGCAACATGTCAATATCATGTAATATTAGGCTGACTGCACTGAAGGTATAGTTTGCTCAGGTGATCCCAAATGTGGATGATTAACTTCATCTAGGAGTACTATGAAGCCTCGACATTATCAAGAATATATGAGAACCTCTGGAGAGCCTAGAAACTTGTGAAATCCAGCTGCAGGCAGATTTCTGCCCTAGCTCCAGCAGATTCCCTCTTTCCAATTGACACTAAATTTATCTCTTTACCAAATCTCCCCTCCTTCCTTACCAAACATGTATCCTGCTTCAGTATTTCCAGGTTACTTGAAATAGTTTCTAATGTTTTTTTGTTTGTTTGTTTTATATAAAAACACAAGCACCTGCAAAACTAACAAACTATGAAATCACAACTTGTCCTGAAATGCAGCTGTACAAATGCTCTGAACTATCAGGGGTCAGTGAGAGTGAAAATGAAGTCAGTTACTCTCCGCAAACTTTCATGAAATAGCTCTGGATTTTCACTGCTGGGGGTGATGGAAGAATTTAAGCCTTCAGCATTTGAAGAGATTATCAGGTGGCTAATTCAGGTGAGAGCCAGAACAACAAGTTACATTGCTAAAAGGACACAGATAGAATCAAGCACATCAGCTGGAGTTTATTACAAAGGTGTTGCTGCCTCTAAAGTAGGAAGCACAGGGCTGTTTTCTGAACCTGGCCAACAACTGGCTTTTGTGAGCCAGGCCACAGGCAATGGTTGTGCACTCTTCTCTCCCCGATAGCACCAAAATAGACACAGCAAGGTGTGCAGCAGAGAGACTGAAACCACAGGGCTCTGCCTGAGGGCCCGCATTTCAAAACATTGATTGTATTTGAATCACAGGGCTGCAAGAGCACCTTGCTTTGGTCTGTTACAGAGATAAGTGATTGATGGCTGTGAGATGCTCACACATCTCCTCAGACCCCACCTGCTGCCCGGGCCCCTCTCTAAGAGTAGCCCTGGTCTCGCAGAGGGCCAGTGACCACAGTGGAGAAACCTCAGCAGGACCCTCAGTGATCGGCAGCCCTCCTGGGAAAACTGAGAGAGAGATGTAGCTTTACCAGGCTTTGCTGTGCTTATCTTATCTCTGCTGGAAGCCAGGCCCTTGCATATCTGCACAGGTTCATCTTGAGTGCAGTGACACCACCAGGCAGAGCCTATGGGTAGATGCTTAGGGTGATATCGCTGCCTCAGCCAAACACTTCCACCTCACCGTGCTCTCTGTGCAGTGGGCTCTGAGATAGGGATCTTGGGTCACTGTCGGGAGGCAGCTGAAGTACCACAAGCCTTGTTTTTCTGAGAGGAAGGCCTTCAGCTTTTATGCAGTCACACTTGCAGTGGATAATCTTCAGAGTTTTTTCAGGACCGTATTTTTCACACTCCAAAGTGCTCTCTCTTGTGCTAGAACAGACTGTGCAACGCACAGAGAGATGCAGAACGCAAGGGCAGGAGATGATAGCCCTTCCCTACTAATCTCCTTGCACCCAAAATCTGTATGAGAGAGAACTGCCTTATATGCTAAAGCATTAATGTATTAGCACTAAGAGCATTAGGGACTCAATTAGTTCTGTAACCTCCACACCCACCACGTGATCATGTTCTAAAAAGCTCCATCCTTGCCTGGTCCTTGTGCCTTCCTGCAATTATTCATCATCTTCTGCAGCTGTATGAACATACAACCATGTATCAGCAATAGGAGTGATGTCTCCAGTTCTTCCTGCATGACACAGGCTCCTCACAGGAATCAGACGCTTTGCAAGCACTTGTGGTTGATTTCTATGGCCATACCAGAACAAAATCCACCTTCAGATCTTGTCTTCAGTCCTAAGGTAGTTTCTGCAAAGCAAAGCTTTTCACGGCTAGATAGTTTTCACAGTCTCTTTCCCTGCTTATCTGCATAAGCCTGAATTCATCCGACCAAGCTTCAGGCATGCAAGGACTAGAGATGAGTGTTCCTTAAGGAAAGTTTGGTAGGATGAATTCAGGCCGAGTACACTAGACGCAAATGGGGCACCTCATATGAGGAACGCTCCAGTTGAGGGATGATATATTTTTTCCTAAATTTGGACCTCAAGATTTGGCCCCAGTCATCTCAGCACATGGGGAGATCTCTCCCATTCAACCTATCCCATGAGCTCCCTGCTATTTTGAACATTTTGAACTCCAAATAGGGGTAATGGGAATGATACTGCTGAGCAGCTTACCAAAACCTCTGGTGCTCTCCTAGGTGTGCTGTGAGCCTTGAGTGCTCTAACACTTACTCCACAGCCTGCACTCAGACTCTTACCAGCTCACCTGATCCGCAGCCATGGTGAACAAGAAGACACATGGCTTGAACAGCACCAGGCACCCTTTGGGTGAATATGCCTTGTCATGCTGGAGAAAGTCCTCTGGGCTGTGGGAATTAGAGAGAAATGACCACAGGACCAGCTATTCAGATATATGTAGGGACTGGGAAAGGAGAGGATGGTCAATCTCAGATTCCAGACAAAAACAGTTACTGACATTCCAGTTCAGAGAGAACTGCCAATAATAGCCAAGGTTTGCTCATGCCAACATTTTCATATATCAGTTGTGGAGATACTACATGGATACAGAACAGGAAGATGACTTCTCTACTAGGAAACTGAAGAGTACTTATGCCCAATTACTGGTCCTAAGGCCAGAGCTGGCAATGTCTACGCTATTAAACTCCCTCCAATACAAGGTCATGACCTCCTAACAGCCTGGGATTGGAGATACCTTTTGGCCCATGCTATCCCCCAGTGTGAGCCTGGGACTTACTTGGCCTGGAACTGTGCTAGCTGTGTAACAGTGTAGGCAGATCGATCTCCTCCAGCTGCCTGTGCCCTAGTGCTGTGTAGTTTGCTAGAGTCAGCCTAGACACTTTGCTGGATTCAGAGAGAAGGGTAAAAACATGGAAGCTAAGAGGAAAGCAGGAAGCATGATGAAGAACCTGGAGGGGGTTGAACCTTGAGGAAGATGAAAGCTGACGAGATTCAGGCTTTGAACTGCCCAAGGGTATGCAAAATAGTGCAGAAACACTTCCCTGAGGAGCTGCGACTGCAGCCAGCCTAGAAAATCCTAGCTCACCTCCAGCAAGGTGAGATGCGGCTCCCATCTGCCCTGGATGGCCACACTGGGCATGCACGGCTGCTTGCCAAAGGCACAGACAGGGCTGGTGTCCCCCCTCCTAGGGGCCCATCTGAGCCCTGAAACTTTTCAGATAGGCAGAATCCTTGCATCCAGACTTTTGCCCTCTTGGATCCTTGCATCCAGACTTTTGCGGGTAGACATTTGTTCACAGCTCTGGGACCTGAGACATTCAATAGCAAACTGTAAAGGAGTGGCTGGGCAGGGGAAAAGGGGCTTGTTATGGCTGCCGGGAAGGCTGGATTGCCTCTGAAAACGTTGCCAGGAGTAGAACCAGGGTGTCGCGGAGCCAGGGAGATGGGCTGTGCTGCCTAGCAACCCAGCCCAGTAAGGATGGTGCTCCTATCAGCCGTAGGGGTGAGGGCAGTTGTCCAGCTCGAGGTAAAAGTGCCATTTACTAATATAAATGTTCTAAAATAGCAATATTCCCATATTGGGCATTAGATGGCTGGGGGGCACATGTCACTCTGCTGAAGCCAGGGGAAGTGACCTGAGTTTCTCCTGGCTTCACCAAAAAGGGAAATGGCTTTCAACTCCCTGACGGGGTAACAGGACAGGATCTACCATGTGTCCTTATGGGATTTAAAGTTCACCCCCTGAGCCACTTTGCTGAAACTCTGCTGAAACTCCAGACCCTCTTTCTCTTTTTTTCTTACTTTCATTTTGCTTTCCACTTTCAGGGACTAGTTTGGTTGTATATTCTTTCCCCCTGGAAACAGCAGCAGTGTTTTCTAACCGGAAGCCAGATCTTGGCTCTAGCTTCCCATAGCCTTCCCTCAATGCCCAAAGCCCCCTCACAAACACAGAACGAGTCATTGCAAAGGGACACGATGAGTTTCCAAGCCTTTTATGTCCTTGACACAGTGGATATCAGTGCTGGGAGGTGGCCTAGTGGCAACCACATGCATGGAGCCAGACTAAACTGCCCATTCCTCCCTACTAAAATGGAGACGGAAAGATGTTTGGCCAGCCTGCTTCTCCATAGCATGCTCCATGCCCTCAGGATTAGGAAGAGGATTAGCCTGCCCCCCCAGTGCACTCCTCTGCAAGGAAAGCTTGGTCTGATGGCCTCTAGAAGGCCACTAGGAAGGGGGCAGGATTGAGGTCCACCTTCTTCTCCTGCCACAGCCAGAGTGAGCAGGGGCAGCTCTAGACTGGAGAGTTTGGCTTTCAGCAACCCCGAGTCCTGAGGCTTGCACAGCCTGATGAATAAAGTTGGTGTCCACCTCGTAGTCCCTTCCTGGGGACATCCTCCAGGGCACCTCGAAGCAGCTCCTCAGAGGGTCCCGTCCGGCATGTGGTGTGGGCTTCGGGGTCCTGAGTGGGCTGCCACACTGCACTTATTTTCTGCCTTGGTGCTAGCGGGAGGAAGGGCGCCAGCTTCTGCGGGAGCTCCTGGGATGGGAGCCCTTCGATGAAGTCTGGGACCTGCGGCGAAGCATCCGGCTGGACATCCTCTACAACAGCATCATGTTCGCTGCGAGGAAAGGCCTCTCCTGGGCAGCAGTGGCAGCAGTGGGGAAGATCGCACAGGAGCTCCTCGAGGAGATGAAAGGTGAAGGAGGGCTGAGCTGGTGTGGCCCAGGCTGAGCTTTTTGCACCTTGTGCCTGACCAAGGAAAGGGAAAACTGAGAGGAGACTAGTACCTTGAGGTCAGCAGTAGAAGAAATAACCCCAAATACACCTTCCTTTTGTTCTGGGCACTCATTACTTTGGCTGCACCTACAGCATGGTGAGTAGTGGGCCAGATCCAGCTCTTGGGATAGCCTCATCCCATTTGAATAAGGAAACAGGGGATGATGTTAGGCCAGCATTTGAAATCTACAGGTGTGTAGCAAACTTTGGGTCTTCTAAGCCAATTAAGAGGAAAAATTGCCTCCAGAGAAGTGTTTATGTAAAGAATGTAGGATGGTTACCCGAAATCCAGGCCCTAGGAGGTAGGCCTTGTTTCAGAGAGGGAGTACGTTTTGCACTGTATATAAACAAAGGCAGAACAGTCCATGGCGGTCTGAGAGCTGCCCCAGCTTGGGAACAGCTCTGCGAGTGAAGGGTTTATTCAGAGCTGTGGTTATTGGGGACACCAGAAACAGTCATGCTCTTCTTTACTCTGAGTTAAATGTCTGGGAGCGCAGCCCAGTAGAACAAGTCGGGTAGGGTTGCCGGCATATTCATACCGGTGTGATTGGTATGAAATCATGCCCTCACCCTACCTCCCAGTGAGCTGCTGAAGCACTTCCCTGTTTTGTAATAATGATGACAACATCCATCCATCCCCTGCCAAATGGGGATCTGAGTGCAGCGGGTAAACATCCCTGCACTTCCCCATGCAGCTGGCCAGGGGCAGGCAGGCAGTAAGGGGTCTGAGAGGTGTGTGAGAGCTTGCTCCTTTGTAAAGCTTATCTGTAGATATTTTCCTTCCCTAGAGAGGACATTCAGCCTGGAGGATAGCACTTTACTGCTCATATTACCTCAGGGGGCTACTTCTTAGCTCAAACAATGAAGCTTTGTGCTTTGCTCTCAGGTTCCATCTAGATGCTTTCCTTCATCTTTGTCTCAGCCTTTTCGAAGTATACCTAAATCACAGCAGAAGAGAGAAGTCAGATTAAAGATTGAGACTTGCGTCCCTTGTGTGGCAGCAAATAATATTATTTCTGATTTTATTTGCATCTTCCATTGTTTTGGACTTACTTGCTTGGATATCAGGTCTAGATACGTATTCTTCATTACAGAAGGGTAAATCTAGAATAAAGATATTAAAGTTGAAGGAGCTACTAGGGTTTTACACCACTGAAATGAACCCAGAATTCAGCCCCTCCCTTGCCATGTTATAACCATGTTAGGGCATAATGGCCTGGCCAAGAGTAAGAAATGAGGTCTGCTGTAGGGAGTTTTGTGGATACTTGGCTATGACACTGCTGCAAATCCCAGCGGAGACGGGTTATTCTTAGTCAACAAGTACATCCTTTACACTGTTCTTCTTCCAAAATCAGCATCTCTGTCACTGAACCCTCCTCTCCTATGGCTGTAGGCAAGTCACCCCCTAACCCAACTCTGAGTGTTCACTGTGGTGGTATTGTCAGTTCTTTAATGAGAGGCATGAAGATTCTTAATGGGACATTTTCTACTCACTTCCAATAGCGGAGTCCCCCAGAAGTCACCACAGATGTGGATATATTGGGATCTTGAGGGCTTTACCCTGCGAGAATCTCAGTTTGTATTGTTTTAGAGGTTTCAGTACTCAGTAGTGCACAGTAATGCACTGTTGTGGCCATTTATAGACATCATCAGACTGTTTGTTTCTTGCCCCCACTTGCTGCCAGGAAATAAATTAGGGTTAATACTTTGCTTATTTGCTTACGAGATAACAGTCACTTCACACCACTGGGTGTGTCTGGTGTGTACTCAGCACAGCTCTGAGCAGTGATGGGCAGTCACCTTTCACTGTGGAGCTTGGTGTGAACTTCCTTAAAGTTTCCTTTACATACTGTGTTGGCAGAGAAAGCCTGCAATTTGGGACTTGTCCTAGGCTCTTGACAGACTCACAGGGTGCTACAGTTTGGAAGGGATCGCTGGAGGTCTCTGGTCCAACCCTCTCATTCAGAGCAGGGTGACTCTGAAGTTAGATCCAACTTCAAAGTTTTAACACATGGCTGAGGGTCATGCCTAGCCGTGTTTTGAATATCTCCAAAGATAGAGATCCCACTGCCTCCCTGGGTACCTCTTACAATTTTTGATCATCATCATGGTACTTTTATTTTTCCTAGTGTCTAACGGGGATTTCTATTGTTGCAGTTGGTGTCCACTGCTTCTGGTCCTTTCATTATGGACATCCAGGAAGAGCCTGGCTCCACCTTCTCTATACTCTCCCATTAGGCCATTGGAGACAGCAATAAGATTTCCCCTTAGATATTTCTGCTTAGGACTGAACAAGCCCAGCTTGTTCGGTGTTTCCTTGTGAATTCTGTGCTTTAGCCCCCTAGCTGTCTTGGAGACCCTCTACCAGACTCTTCCCAATTTGTCAATGTCTTTATTGCACTGGGAAGCCCAAAACCAGATACAGTACTCCAGATACAGTCTCACAAGTGCCAAATGCTTCCATACAAAGTAGAATAAGTCTCTGCTGTTTGTTACACTCCAGAAGGTGTGATAAGGCTGATTCTCCTTGTGGGCTGTTTTTCCATCCATCTCTTTGTCATCTTGAAATTCCTTCTTACTTGAACTGATACATTTGAGGCAGGAATCACACCTAAGCTAAGCTAAGAGAGAAACAAGGATGATGATAGATCCTTTTATCCTTCATTCCCCCATTGAGAATGGGAAGGATGGAGTAGGTAATGAGAGAAATCAGTAGCCAAGCCACATCAACACAGTTCAGAACAGAAGGGGGAAAAAACAGTTATCTTATCATCTCCTACTCAGGATAGAAAGAGAACAGGGAACAGTACTACCTCAAGGTACCAAGTTTTGTGTGATATGCATCTCGCTCATCTTTTGGAGGTGGTCCATGTCTACCACACTGGAAAAGAGAGATAATAGGGTTTTGTGCTGATTCCTGAGTAAGCCTGCTTGCCCCCTGGGGTTTTCACTGTACGTATGGAATGAAACTAAGATGTCAATGCAAAATCCATAAGAGAGCTGATGCCTCTGGCTGAATGGCACTTGAAGTCCACAGGCCCTAAGCACGACGATATTGAAGGTGCTGAATTGAAGTGAATGCCCTAATCTGCCCTGGATTAGGCCCTCCGCAGGGATGCCTGAGAGATTTGGTATTCCGGCACTCACAGAGCTGTTTACTCATAAAATAATGCAGGGCCTGTTCATGCAAATTAGGGTGGGTCACATTTGCATAATGCTGATTTCAGAAGTGAATTATTGTCACAGACAACTTGTTTCTATCGCAGGCTTTATCCATTCAACACATTCGATATGGGATGAGAATCTCAGCTTGATGAAATTGCTGCAGGGTGGATTTTGAGGGGAAGGAAAGAGGAAAAGGGATGCACAGCCAGAAAGGTAGCTGAGCATTACTGCATAATTGCTTCTGGATTGCTAGGTTTAAGCAGAGTTTATCAAAGGGTTTATAATGTAGGTGGGGATTGCCTGCTGACTCTTTTGATTAGAGAATGAGTTTAATAATCACTCATTCCTTATTTATTTTGCAAATAATACAACTTTAGTCATGTATCAAACAGCCCCCAAACCTCCCTGTGCTTCTTGACCCAGAGATCTTACAATCTGGCTATCCTCCCTATAAAAATGTGGCCTTTCATTACTTTCCTGACACTACACAGGATCAGGGCACCAACTTTTTCGTGTTCTCTTTGAAATAAAAATCTATTCAGGACATCCACTTCTTCTTAACAAATTAGATTAAATTTTAATTAAACATCACTAAGAAATTAAGTGTCCTTGTGCAATCAGCTAGGTCAGGAAGGGCTATGGGGCATTCTGACCAAGTTGCAAGCTTTTCTCAGTTTTCAGAGGGGAGGGATCTATGCTGATTCATTCATAATCAGCCCACTGAATAATGCATGTGATGCTAATGATAGACTGAAGTCCTGAGAAGGAGCCAGGGTGCACCTCCACAACTAATATTTTTGGAGGGGAGGAATGGAGGGGGGGATTAAAAAAAAGTCACTTCAGTTTAAGAAGCCAGGATAGGACGTGCACCTTCGAGGACTTCTTAGTGAGTGCCTGACAAATATTTGGAGGTGTCTTTTCATGGATATTTCAGGAACTGCCTTCTGTGCTCTCACTCTGTTACTGCATTTTCACCTGTCTCTCATCCCTGCAGAAGTATTAATAGAAAATAAGTCCTGAGACAACCTATGCTTTCGCTGAATCCACACAAAATCAGAGATCAACAAAGGAGGAAATCAGAGGTGCAGGCTACTGGGACAGAACGAGGAGGCTATGGGGGATCAGGAGCAATGATACCTTAGGAGATGCGGGGCTCTAAAGAGAACTTCCTCTCATATTGCCCCTACAGGCCTCGAGATTATCTCTGATTAATCCCTGATTAGCAGGATTTTTTAACAGAGACCCTGAGGTGAATGGCTAGAACCACAGCGCGTCTTTGACTAAGCTATACTTTTAAGCCAGGCTAAATTACTCATTATTCAGAGAGAGGGAAGGGTTTTCCTGCCTTGCCCCATTTTCAGGACATCTCCAGGGTGAGGGGCATTTCTGAGCTGAAGGAGTGAAACCAGCTAACGTGGCTTTAGCACAGAAAAGGCTAGGCCTGGCAGCAGCCAACGTCTGGACGAGAGGAGATGAAAAAGCAAGTGTCTGAGTAGTGGAAGTATAGCCTTTCTGGTTTATTCCCTGACCTTGCTCCTTGCTTTACTGTCTTTATACAATGGAAGGCCAAGATTATCTGTCTCAGGGAGGAAGCTCATTTTAACTGGGGATTTGAAGAAAGAGGTGGAAGTGTAGAGTTAGGGGCAGATTGTGCTCTCCTTTTCCCCCTAACCTAATCTTGGCACCAGCAAGTGGAGGTGGTTGGGAGTGCAGAGTGGAGGGGCTCTAAGGTAGTGAGTGAACAAAGGCAAGAGCAGAGGTCCGTTCTGTGTATGGCCACAGCATGAAGGAAGACGGAGCCAAGATGAGACCCGTAAAAGTCCATGAGGGCCTTTTTGCTTAACAGTGAAAGTCTAATGAGGGAGCAACAGGCTCAGATATGGCCCATAAGGGAAAGGACTTGCAGTAGTGCAGGAGGGATTGAGGGGTGCTAGGAGTGTGGGAGAGAAAAGAGTGGTTGTAACTGTGTGGGCAAGAGGGACCTACCACGGACTTCAGAGGTGGTTTCAATGGGGCTGCCTGATTTTAGAGGCTGAATGAGTAAAGACATGCAGGGAGTGCCATCTGGCCGGAAGGTCAGACAATCAATGCTGTTGCTGTTTTGCTTCCTAGGACCGGCTTCCTAGTACTGGCATAGCAAAGGATGTGTCCCAGCCCACGACGTAGTCTGCAGAGGGATGATCATGTTCCCTGAGGTGTTGTTACAGCCGCTCGGTAGCTCCCTGTAGCTCATCCTTCATCTCGATCTGTTGCTGAAACCAAAGGAGTGGCACTGGTTACCTCCACACAGCTTTGCTCTCTCCTGAGAGCTACAATCCCGCTTTTTAAGATGTGAATAGGAATTGCCTCCAGCATGGTTTCAGCTCCTCCAAGGCTTCCTGAAATTCCCAGCTTACCCCCTTAACTTCTTCCTGCTGTTGCCATGTGTGGGGCATGGTTCCTAATCAAGTCCCTCAGCACAATATCACTGCCATTCCTCATGCAGTGTGGTACTGAACTATAGGCCATGAGTAGTTTTAAACATCGAGAGATCAGCTTCCCTCAGTCTCTTTTCAGTCTCTAAGCAATTTCGTTGACGTCCACCCACTCTGGGCTTACACTACTATACCAGAATCAGCTTCTGGCTCTAGACCCCTGGTAATGTATATAAGTGGACTGCGGAGCAGACGCCAGCATGGATGTTGTCCTGGAGACTAAAGGCCAGACTCCAACTTAGAAGTATCAGAAGATACCAGCCCCACATAACTTCAGGCTCACAAGAGGTTGTCTTAGAAGTGCATTAAAAGTGTATTAAATATAAGCTCTTTGTGCCCTAGTGAGAGGAATGGGCATACCAGAGAGCAGAATTTGGACTTTAGCAGACCTACGGGCTGTGCTCCGTCTTCTCCATTGCTCTTGCATAGCTGGGCAGAAGGGCCCAGGTCCTCTGCAGATGGCTACCCATAACTAGTGTGACCACAGCCCAAACTGCCTAAGCATTAAGTAACTTTAACAGCTGCAGGGAGCTCAGGACCTTCATCATTGACTTGACATCTCTTTCCGCTGCAGCTGTCCTTTTCTTTCAGCCCTGGGGTGCTGCTAGTTCTTGGTATTACGTGCAACTTTCCTGTGCAGGTGATCTTCAGTGGCTCTTCTGCCTGCTCTGGGATGCCTCCTCTTTGACTAGAGGGAACTTAAGGAAATTAACTCAGGCTTGGACTTTTAGGTTATATCTCTACTAGCAAACTGGGAATCCCATGGCACCAGCACTGGAACGCCACCGTTCACTCTGTTGAATAGGTAGCCCAGACCTTGACACGTTCTTTGCTTGGGCCAACTAGCAGTGACTCAGGCAATTGCTGTGCAGTTTGGGAATTAGCACTGACCAGGGACTTTCTCAGTAGGCAATGTGGGTGTGTCACCCTGATAGGGAAGTTAATAGTATGGCTGAAGTGAGATAACGGCAATTTGGCCAGGGAAAGGGCCTGGCAGCATTTAGGTGGCTAACAGAGATGTAACCCTAAGTGCCTACATTTAGGTGGGCAAAATAGAGCCCTAAATTTCCCTATGATGCTATGATTGACGCTTTTTCTGTTGCTTTCACTACCTGAACATTTGCCAATGTTGTGAATGGAGCTGTAGTGTAAATTCGAAAGAATATTCTCTTGCTTTCAGTTCCCCAGGTACAGTATGAGTAGTCGTGATAATAATAAATAGTGGTGATGAATTCTTTCTCCTCTTGCATCGCCAGCTACTGTGCCTGTTTCAGCACTAATTGCTGTGGAGCCAGGGCTGTATTGCACTGTGCACCTCAAACGAAGACCGTCCCTGAGAATGGCTGGCACTTGTGTATCATATGACGTTGATAACACAAGGATTTTTGTCTCCTACTGGTTGTCCTGCCGAGAAATGTGTGCAAAGCTGCTGGATTTGGGGAGTAATTTGTTGCAAGGTTTCTCCTGGATGCATGTGCAAAGGATCTGGGCTCTACTTCTGTGTATGAACCCGTATTGGCAAAAGGTTGGTGAGGTACTCAGACACTTTACTCAGTAATAACCCATTCTTGTTCATCCAGTGGGATTGCTGAAGGATTTGCATGCCCAGGCAGAAAAAAGTGTACACGCTCAATTCCTGATCATCATTGCCCTAACCCCATTCCTGCAATATGACTCATTCATGGACATCAAGCCTGAAGAAAGTCAGGGAGATTTGCCTCCAAGTGAGATCGGTGGGTGACAGGCTCCAAACCCCCTTGAAATTCAGGTCTTTCAGACTTTCCTCATCAAAAAGCATCAAGGGAATGGTGCACTTAATCACCACATCAGTTTGTTCAACACGGCTTCTCCTCTGTTCCCCTATAGACTTGGTTGTGCTCTTGCCATGTGTTGCTGGAAGGACCGCGGATCTTTCTTACTAGCCAAATATCTTCATGCCAATAACTTCATCTCCCAAGGCTCAACCTATTACTACAGACATTTCTCCCAAAAGGCACCACTCTCTCTCCAACTCATTATTGTCAAATTGGAGGAAATTGTAATAACAGCATGCGTTCACCCATCTCTTTAGGATTTTGCAGAGCATAATGGAAGCTAAGTAATTAAGCTTCCCAGTTCCCTTAAGGGAAAAATTATCATTCCTGTGCAGCAGACATGTTAACCAGCACTCACCGAGCTTAAGAGACTTGTCAAAGGGTATGTGGTGATTTGGTGGCAGAAGCAAGACTGTAATTGTCCTGCAAAAAGTCCTGACTCACTCCACTGGTAATTATTGTCTGCCTTAAACATAACTTAGCCTGTAATGTTAGGAAGGGGATCCCTCTTCCCCTACCATCTCCAAATGTGTGTAGCCTCCACACCTGATTTTTAGTATTCACCAAGTCTGTAAATGAAATTTTGTGACTTGGCTGAAATCAATAAATAATTAGACAATTTGAATTGCTCTCTCAGTTTAGAGCATCATAATTCTTTCTTTGACAAAAAGCAGCCTTTCTGAAAAAAATTTTCTTATAAAATTTTCATTTTTTGGCAAAAATATATCTTCTCTGATCCCATTTTGTTTATTTTAGTTGAAAATAGTAATCTATCAATCTTATGTTTTTATTGAAAACCTCATATTTTTAGTCAGGAAGAAAAACTGTTCACTAATTAATGTTAAAGTATGGAGTTCTTTAGGAGGCTTTGCAATATTTCCAACACATTTTAATAATCTGAAAGGCATATACTTAAAAACAATGAAATGAGAAAAGGACGCCTTTCTATTTGGGAATACTGCAAAATGATAGTAAGGTGGAATTCTTGAAATTTCCTCACAAAGCTTCAGTGGTTTGTGTTGGCTTCTGAGAACTCTGCACAGACTGTGAAGGGGCTGTGTGATGGAAACCCCATCTCCTTCTAGCTTTATTACTGTTACACTGAGTGTCTAACCATTGCCAAGGTTAGGTGTAATATTTTTAATATCCTCTCACTTCCCCTCAAATATTTCCCTCAGTCTGGATGTATTAGGAACAGTCTCCAATATTAGAAGATGCTCCCATCAGAAACCTTGGGGTGGATTATGATCTTTAGCTCTCAGATAGTTTCTGAGATATACATCCCATCAATTCCCTTTTCTTTGTCATCTATAAAGTGAGTCTTGTTCCCAAGCTGATGTCTGCTTATAGGCATTAGAGGTGGGATTCAGCTCACCTACTTTTAGATGTCTCCATTGAGTTTGAACCCTGCTCCTGAACTTGGGGACATAAAAATCCCATTTGTCCAGGTTCTCCCCTTCCTACCTGTGAAATAAACGATCCTTTAATCTTGTAAGATGCCTCAGTGCCAAAAGCAGCCCCAGTTTTACAGGCTGAGAATTGAGAATAAGAAGGATGTTGTGATTTGCCCAGAGTCATGTAGCAGGTCATGGCATGACCAGGAATTGATGCCTGGAAGCCCGGCCAGTCCTGAGTAATTCTGCATCATTCAAATGTCATCCTGTGAGGAGCTCACCTCAAAGCTCATCTTGCAGACCAGGCACTGCTCATAGGATTGGCCTGTGTACATTCTCTAATGTCTAGTAGTACAGTTGAGCATGTCCTGTGGCCATATCCTCAGAGGGGGAAGCGTTTTGGGTCTCTGAATTCTGCCCAGATGTATTTCACTGAAATTATCTGAACTTCAGATCATCGGGACTTCTTCCACTCTCTTGAACTGGATTACAAAACCACAGAATGACTGCGGTTGGAAGGGACCTCTGGAGATCATTTCGTCCAACCCCCCTGCTCAAGCAGGGTCCTCTAGAGCACATTGACAGGACCCTGTCCAGTAAGGTTTTGAATATCTGCAGTGAAGGTGTGACTGTGACTGTGAGGGTGACTGAGCATTGGAACAGGTTGCCCAGAGAGGTAGTGGAGTCTCCTTCCCTGGAGATATTCAAAACCCGTCTGGATGTGATCCTGGGAAATATGCTCTAGGTGACCCTGCTTGAGCAGGGAGGTTGGACTAGATGATCTCCAGAGGTCCCTTCCAACCGCAGTCATTCTGTGGTTTTGTAATCCAGTTCAAGAGAGTGGAAGAAGTCCCGATGATCTGAAGTTCAGATAATTTCAGTGAAATACATCTGGGCAGAATTCAGAGACCCAAAACGCTTCCCCCTCTGAGGATATGGCCACAGGACATGCTCAACTGTACTACTAGACATTAGAGAATGTACACAGGCCAATCCTATGAGCAGTGCCTGGTCTGCAAGATGAGCTTTGAGGTGAGCTCCTCACAGGATGACATTTGAATGATGCAGAATTACTCAGGACTGGCCGGGCTTCCAGGCATCAATTCCTGGTCACTCTTTCCTCATAGAAGAGATGCTTCAGGCCCTTCACCACATTAGTAGCCCTTTGCTGGACTAGCTCCAGGAGCTCCATGTCTCTCTTGTACCGGGGAGTCCAGAATTGGACACAGTACTCCAGATGTGGCCTCGTCAGGGCTGAGTAGAAGGGGAGGATCACCTCCCTTGACCTGCTAGCAACACTCTGCCTAATGTACCCCAGGATACCATTGGCCTTCTCGGCCACATGGGCGCACTGCTGGCTCATGGTCAACTTGTTGTCCACCAGGACTCCCAGGTCCTTCTCTGCAGAGCTGCTTTCCAGCAGGTCAACCCCCAGCCTGTACACAATTGAAACTGGCCAAAAGATTTAAAAGTAGTAAAGGAGGAGGCAGCAGACATAGATAAACAGTGAGATTGCAGAAGCCACATTTCCATAGGAAACAAAGTGAAAAATATACTTCATCACATACAGTAAAACCAGATCCAAAGGAATCTTGACAGAATGTTATCTCTAAAATTAAGCTCCTATGGCTTTATCTATTTCTTAGAGGCTAAAGGTGTTTGCTAAACAAGAAAGGTTCAGAGCTGGGCATTTTATGTTTTCATTATGTTCTCTTTAAACTACAAAGATTAGATTGGCTTCAAAACTGATATATCTGATTATTATAATAAATCTTAACTTGACCAAGAAACTCTTAATTACAGCTAATGAAAATAGAGAGGTACAGTGCATGAAAAATATCAGTTTTCCCATTTTCTATGAATGTTCTGCAGGAGTTTGGGTTATGCTATGAAAAAATGTTTTTTTAAAAAGAAATACGCATCATTTTTAAAAAAATTCAAATAACCTCACTCTCATGAGTCAATCATCGCTTTCTTTTATTTTATGTATGGGGGCCATTAAACAGTAGAGAAAAGTGGAAAAAGTTATATAAAATGTATTTTCTCTTTAAGTGCGTTTGAGGAAAACTAAGCTAAACCTAGAATTTTATTTCAATTTCTTTTTTTTTTGCTTAGAAGGATGTTTTTTTGCAAGGAAATGATCAATGGAAAATGTTTGACCAGCTGTACTCTTATCTTTCTATCTGGAAACACATCCAATACATGGAAATCCCCACCTCACTTGAAGTTTCGAGGGGGTGACTGGATTTTGCGCTCATGCTTATTTCGATATGAGTAAGTGTTTTAGTATTTGCTTTTGTTTGCTATCCATCCACTCCAGTTGAAGGAAAAATACAGGAGAATTTCCACTCTTGCCGTGACAGCGCACAATCACTCTGCAGGGATCAGCAATGTCTCTGCCTGTAAATCTTTTCAGTCCCCTGAATTAGGCCTCAACCTTGGCTCCTTCTTCAGTCTTCAGGGAATTTTAATCTGGCGATTAACTTCCAGCTAGCAGGAAATAACAGAGACCTTCTGGATACATCTATTCATCAGAGTCAAGACATGGGCTGGCCACCAGAGCTCAATCGTTCACATTGTTGTTAACACAGTCCTTGGCTAGGCTTCGGTCTGAGCCCACTGAAACAGGCTCTAAGAGTCCCCAGCCGTGGGTCAGGAATTAGCATGGGCCAGGGACCATTTCCAATAGATAGTTTAGAGAAGCCACCGTGTTTTGGAGAGGGTTTAGCTCTATGGGCTTGGTCAGACCAGGCCAGCTCGCCACAAAGCCAGAACATGGGCCCTGGCCCTGGTTAGTCTGCCTGTAAGCAATCATCATGGAGTGGTTTTCTTTCTCTGAAGATACTGACTCAGGTACATTTTTGTATCATGGAGCAAAGTAGTAGACGGGAGTTGTCCTTGGGTGAATATTGAACTACCAAAATGCATGTCCAACTGCTTCAGTAGTCATATGCCTCTAGGCAGAGGCTTCTGGGTTATTGAGGAGCATTCTTAAATAAGAATTGATTTAATAGTTCTTTGGAAACAACAGCCTCCCACCTTCTGCCCAGCCCAGGTAGAAACTGCAGGAAACGAAAATGAAAATAATAATAATAAAGGCTAGGAGGAGGTTAATTTACTTTTTCCCATGGAGTGAACATCAGTGGATGCTAATAGCTGCATCATTTCAAAGAGAGAGTACCAAAATAGTGCACGTTGATAGCTGCAGGGCTCTTGAAGCCTCATTTAGGCCTGCATTCACTCATCTTTATGCACATACAAAGTCTCTAAATTAGGACTGTAGCTGTCTGGTTTCCCTCTGGAGTCTGTGGAAAGAGCTGGCCACCTCTGGAGAGCTAGTAAAATCTTAAAGCAGGAGACTTTCCCTTGGAAGATCTTCTCTCTTCTCGTTGGACTGAATCCAGGCCTCAGGAGCTGTTTTAATCTCTTTCCAGGTCTAACCATCTCCCAGGCCCTCCAGGTCTTCCAGGATAAAGTCTCAGCATGTGAGCCGAAGCTGAGGCCACTCAAGCCAGGCATTCTGTGCGATTACTTTCTCAACACGTATTTCAAACATTTCCACCTCTACCAATTCCTGCTATGCCACAAGAGGACAGTGCAGCAGCGCTACGCCACCCTGGAGGTCTGCGTGCCCCCACATCCCCTCCCGCTGGAGACTGGCATAGATGCAGAGGTTGAAAAACACCAGCAGCAAATTGCTGCCCTGTCAGCTGCCGAGACCCAAAAACGTACCAATGTGCTGCATCTCCGAAAGATGCTAAGGGCAGAGAAGAATACCATCCTGGAAAAAGTGTACAAAAAGCTGGAAGACCCAAGCGAGAAGCTAGACAGAGAGGTAAAACGTTATTTTTACTGAAAGAGATACAGTCAGGTACAGCACTTGAAGTAGGCCAAAGGGGTTGGAGGTGGCTCCAAGCCTCTCCCACCAATTCACTCTCTGATTTGGGGCAAATCACCTGATGTTTCTATCTCCTTATTTTCCAATATTTCATGTATGAGGCTGAGGGAGAGAATAAGACATGCCCAGTGGGACTTGTCTTTGAGATATAGAAATCTGTTTCTTTTGCCATCCAATGATGTTGAGTTTGGATTTCCTCTGCATCTTTTTTTTTTTTTTTGCCAAGCTTTGACTGTAGAAACTAATCTGTTTGCGGGTGACTCCTCTAATTCCTTGTCCTAGCAGCTTCTGCTTATATATCACAAAGAGAACGTGATACAAGATCCTGCCGTTCTTCCAGGAGAATAGTGATGTCAGTAGGAGTGGGTGCATGAAATATGCAGGATTTGGCTTTTTTTCATGCAATTTGGACTGTATTGCCCCTTATGATTTTAGTTCATGCCCCAGCCATGAAGCATTGATAACAGTTTGGGAGAAAAAAAAAAAACACATGCTCAAAAAAGAAAGAAAGCACCAAAAAACAGACACGTGCGCACACACGCACACACACACACGTGCACATACAGACCTGCTTCAGCTTGCTTTACAGGTTCTTAGCCCGGGAGCAAATCGCTTGGGAAATTTAATTAAACTTTAATGAGCTACTTTGATTGTTGGGCCGTATGCCTAGTGGAATTAATGTACAATGAAGGGGCACCTCATCATGCTGCTGGCAATAGCTGGCAGGTTCATGTAGAGCAGAGCATGTCATCCTAAATCACCTTTTGAACTCAGGAAAGCAGCAGGGAAGAACAACCAGGAAGCTCTAATGGGTTTTTTAATTACAGCAAGCCCCTTACATGTCATTACCATGCATTGGAAAAGAAACTCTCTCTGAGTCGCTTTCAGGCTTTCAGGAGGTTGGGGAAGGCAAGGCATGCAAGGTACTCTTGGTGGTGGTCTCAGTTGTGGGTTTTCTTCTCTTCCTTCCTCTGGAGTCAGCAGGGAAGGGCTGGTTTGTAATGTAATGCTGGTTTGGAAAGGAACGTTCAGCCTCATGAGATTCATGCAACCAGTTCCCACTTCTTTTTCCCCTAAAAGCTGGGCCTCTGCTTTGAAAGAAGATCCATCATGCATTCCCTCCCATCCCATGCAGGATTTCCAGAAGTCCCTTCCAACCTCAGCGGTTCTGTGAGAGATGCTGCACCAGGCTGGACCTGTGACTCCCACGCACTCAGCTCTGTTTGGCATATGGGGTTCTAGTGAGACAGGAAAATTGCACACTCACCACGGTGTTCTGCTGCCCAGGACTCCTTCCAGAAAGGATGCCTGTTTGAAAGGGATACCCTCCTCTAGGCATCCAGGGGGGTGAGTTCCACATGCTAGGAGAAAAGACAGTTGGAGGGTTTACGATGGAGAATCATTGGATAATTCAGGTTGGAAGGGACTTCTGAAGATCTCTAGTCCAACTCCCCCCCCTTGCTTAAAGCAGGGCCAACTAGAACAGGTTACTAGAACAGAACCTTGTTGAATTGAATTTTGAATAATCTCTGGGGATGGAGACCCCATGGTCATTCTGGGACCTTGTCCCCACACTTAACTACTTCCAGAATTTCATTTGATGCAACTTGTGTCCATGACACTTTATTCTTTCTCTGTGCATCTCTCAGAAGGTACTGTCTCTATCCTCTCCACAGCCTCCCATTAGGTAACTGAGCCTTGTTTTCTCCAAACTGAGAAAACCCAGGTCTCTCAGCTTCTCCTTACACATCATGTGTTTCAGGAGGATTACCCATACTGGGAAGCTGGACTCGTTCCAGTTTGCCAGCAAGAAGCAACTCTAAAAAGAGAAAACTCAACCTTCCTGTGTTTCTGTTTGCTCCTTTAGAGACTGGCGACCTTAGTGGAAGAGGTGATCAGAGTTGAGGAGGAAACCACACGTGAGATCTTCCAGGCTGAGATCCAGGCCACCTTTGAAATCCTGGAGCTGAGACTCCAGAAGAAGATGCTAGCCTTGAAACCACCTGTTCCTAATCTTCCACCTCTTGCCCCTGCTGTCCAAGCCAAGAAGGCACCTAAACCTCGGGAAAGAAAAAAGAAGAAATGAAGAGGTTTTGGCTTGTGCAACACCTGGTGGAAATCCTCCAGAAATACTCTGTGGCCATGGTTTATCCTTTTTGGGTTTCTGAGTTGACTTTTGGGACATGGCATACACAGCTTGATGCTGCTTTGTTCTCACTAGATTAAATAAAGTTTAAACCGCCAAAACTAAACTGATACGGCAGATAAACCTCTCCTTGGCGGAGACTGAAAGGGATGGGGGAAAGTTATTGTGAATTCAGCTCCAGCAGCTACTGTTTGATTTCCTCAAAACTTTCCCAGGCAACAGCCAGACTGGCCCCAAGCTAGTAACAGAACAGGACAAGCCCTCTTCAACATCTTAGAGTGTCCAACCCAAGGCAGCCCTAGACATCCCAGTTTGGAAACACAGTACCGCTCTGCTCTCACTCACATCAGCATTGCAATGAGCAGACACAGCAGGGGAACTGGGCAGTGGCATCTTGCTGAGGGAAGAGATATTTTCCAACTCTGGGCCTCGCTTCTAGCATTCATCACCAAGGCAATGAACAACAGCAGTTCCCACTGAGGATTGCTCCTAGGAGGATAACTGTGTTTAATTCGATGCCCGAGTGTGAAAGGCTCACAAAGGACTTGCTATTCCTCACTCCATCCAGAAGCGCTGGGCATACTCCAGCCAGGATACCGAGGTCACACTGAAGCTCCTGGCCATTGCAAAGTCCGAAGTAGTTCAGCTCTGACTTCTCCTGACTCTCAGGAGACCTCAGGGACATGGTATTGTTGGCATGTCTTGGGGTCATCAAACTGTAATGAAATACCCTAGTGGTCTGCAGACCCACCGGGACCTGCTGGACACATTATTGTAGGTCGGCCCTCCACAGTACTCAGACAAGATCCTTTCCCCTCCTCTTGTCTTTTTACTCTGTAAAAATGAGCTGGAGCAGTGCTGGGGGCATGTCCCAGGAATGGTTGCTTAACTTCAAGCATAGCATGAACTCCTGAAATCTAATTCAGCCAGCCAGGCTAGGGCAGAACAGAAAACTACGCCTGCACATGCCAAGATATAATGTACTATATTATTGGAAATCTTGAGGCCACCGAGTCAACAGTAGTATTTCTTGGCATTTATATAACGCCATTCACCCGTGGTCTTACAAAACTGAGACTTCAATGCACTGATGTGGTGTAGCTGTTTTATGCCCTCCATTGTTCTTTCAAAGACCTGTCCATGCCTGCTTCTCTCCCCAGCAGTGGGTGACAATCCAACTTCTCCACTGCTAAGGATGCATGGCTCCAACATAGTCAGGATTTTGCTGTGCAGGGTGCTGGATGAACATAGAACAAAAAGTGTCCTCTTCAAACTACATTTCTTTTCCTGGTGGCAGTGCTTCCTGATGCAGCCTTTTACTACCTCTCACCCTGTCCAGTGTCCAAACCAGGATCACTCCACTGGGTGGCCCAGATACCTGTAATGAAGCAGGACATTGTCTCTAGGACCACTGCCTTGTCGGTGGCAGACACAAGAAAGTGTAAGATGAATGAGGCAGGGATCCTGGGAGAGTGTGGATGTCCTTTCTCAGCGTTCAGATGGGCACAGGCTGCCCTGAAGAACCAGTTCTCTCTTTACCTCTGCCATTCAGACTCTCCGTGAGGGTTGGTAGGGGACCATTTTCCTGGAGTCACTGGCAGCAGGTCTTTTATTTCTGGATGCTCAGCTTGTGACTTGGGTTGCTGGGCAGAAGATGGGTCGGTAGGCATCCAGCATCCTAAACTCACTGGCAGTTCCTCCATGTCTCCCTGTCTTCTCTGTGAAACAGGGAATAAAACCAACACCTTTCTTCACTGGTGTCCAAGGAAATGACTAAGTTTGTGAAACACCAATGTATTGGTGGGACAAACATCAAGGAGACACCCCTACCCAAATCCTCTGCTTTTGCAGCAGGGCACAAAGAGTAAGCAAAAAAAAAAGCCTGAAAGCTGGGTGTCAGGAGCAGAGAGAAAAAGTCCAGCAGATGCTCATCACTTGGTGGCTGTGGTCTAGGTTCAGCCATTTAAATGACAACTCTGCTGTGGTGTTTAAGTTGGGAGCCTTGTTACTCTGGGATCTCTCAGGAGAGAGAGCTGGGCATGTCTAGGGAGTAAATCTCACCTTAAAACACTTATGAGACTTGCCTAAATCTCTGCAGTCATTGGGGAGGGACCTGGAAAACACAATTACATGTTAAACATAGAGTGGCTGCATCCCAATCTGTCTGCGAGCTGAAAGGAGCAATGGTCCTGTGGGGGGTGGGGGGGGAATTCACACATGATCCTGCAATGTGATCATGTAATGAATGCCTTTTGCTGCATGATCACATCACGGGATCTCATGTAATCCCAGCTCTCCTGGCACCTGGAAGGAGCGGGGCGGTTACACAAACATGCTCAAGTCTGGCATTTCCTAATCCTGGAGCACTCGACTTTGCAACTGTAATACACTTCTTCAGCTATAGTGTGCATGGGGTGAGGGAAGTGGGAAGGGTTTCTAAGGTTATAAAGAACCTAACAGACAAGTCCACCCAAATCCCATCCGGCGGCATTGTCCAGCAGCCCCGGTCTGCATCTATACTCGTAAACGGACAGGCCAGGATCTCCTCCGCACATGCTCCTCTGTGATCGCTCTCCGTTTATTTTTAGCACACTCCCTGGAGTGATTTTTACCCAGGCCATGTAGCACTGACCCAAGCAATGTCCAGGTAAAGTTCAAGGCTAGCTCAGGCCAAGAGTCATTCCCAGTGGGCACTCTGGGTGCTGTCATCCTCTTTTGGAGGCTGAGAGAGTTTAACGCTAAGGCTGGATGGACCTGCTGGGCTCAGGCCGGGAGAACAGGCCCTGGGCTGGTTATTTACCAGCACAGATGCGTCTGTGTGAGCCATCAGGGCCTCAGGCATGGTCATGCCACCTAGGCAGCAGTAGGAGGCTGTCATTTTCCCCGGACCAGCTTTGAAGGGGATATGTGGGAGGTGCACTCTGCCAAGGCCTTCATCAGTTTGTGCTGACAGCTGCAGAAAGAGAGACAGGGGATCCTGCTTTCCCCAAGCTGCATTTAGTCTGCCCCATTCCTGTGGCTTGGCCTTTCATCGGCAGCCCGATCCCTTCTCCATCCTGTGTGATCTATCTCCACCCTGTTTTTTTTCTATTAACAGTCCTGGGCCATACTGTAAAGACTGCCATCCCAGTGTTGTCCAGTAGATCCCTCGTCTCACTCCCTTCCCTTTCCCAGGCCAGTCTCCACTCCGGAAGGTCCTTTCCACTATTCCAGTCCTTTTTCCCTCTACCGTCCTCCTCATCCAATGTGTCTCCTTTAGATCATGCTCTGTTCCTTCACACAGTGTCCCAGCTCTGGTCTTCATTGCCAGATCATTGGTTCACATCCACCCCCTCCTTCCTTGGCTGCTTTCCTCAGCCTCTTTCACCAGCTAGTCCTGCTCCTGTCCCTGGCACCCCAATTTCTTGTCTCCCATCCAGTGTCCCTTAGTGTCTCTTCTACCCAGTGTGCCCCTACATAATGATAGTTTAAAGCTGTTGAAACTTGATAATATGTAAGTCTGCCTTTGCAGTACCTTCCCCCAATGCTTGACAACTGTTCCTGGAGTGAACAATGAACAAATCAAGCCTCAGTGCTCCCAAGTTAAACTAGCACCGAGAGAGGAAGACTGGAGCTCTTCAGGCTGGAAAAGAGGTGGCTAAGGAGATGAAATATGATTTATGGTTACAAAATCATGAGTGGCGTGGAGAAGGTAAACAGGGAATAATGTAACATGAGAAGTAAGGCACCAAGGGAACCTGGCAGCTGGGAGGATCAAAGCCAACAGAAGGAGGTGGTTCTTCCTATAGAGAGGGGATCTGACGGATACTAAAATTTTGAACCCACAGCCAAGGAAACGTGCAGAGGAAAATCTCACCAAACGTGATTCAGTGCAGAGATCTCACACCTGCATCACAAAGTCCTGAGCTGAAAACTGTCTGAAGTGGGAGAGTTTCTGGGGTGGATCACTCCTTTGCCCCATTCTTATACTCATTTTTAGATGTGCATTACTTACACCATCAGAAACAACATCATGGGCTGCAGTGGCCTTGAATATGGCCTTTGTATATGTATCATACCTATCTCCTGCAAATGAGAGAGGTAGAGCTGGGAATACCCTCCCCTCTGGACCAGAGCCCATGGTGCTCTTGGGTTCAAAAACAAACTAGATCTTGGGTTTTTTCTACTCAGGAGGGGGCTGAGCTGTGATTACCTTTGTGGTATCATGTGATGCCCAAGAAAACAAGTCTGCCACTGACAACAGAGAATTAAATAGCTAGTCCAATCTCAGCGGTATTGAAGAGTTTGTTTTAAGCAAAGTTCTTCAGTGGTCTCCCCGGATTTTGGCTGATGCCCACATGGGCAGCATGGATGGAGACTCTTCATGTGATTCCTTCACTTCTTAGGGAAGCCAATCCAGCCATTTTTTACTTCAGCCACAGAAAAACGGTAGCAACATTTTGTTTTTTTGAAGTAAAGAGATAGAGTAGGGGAATGATTTGGTGTTAGAATAAAGCCACACTAAGAAAGGAGCAGTCCCCAAAGTCAGGAGCAGTCCCCAAACTGTCTGGCTGGGGAAGCTGACTCCCCCGCCCTGCCCAGCTAGGCAGGAGCGGAGCTGGGACCTGCTGTCCCCTTGGTGCCTGACGTCAGCCAGCAGTCACCGTGCTCCCTGGGATGCCAGGGCAAGGAGCAACTGGGAGTGTGACTCAGCCTGTCACGTGAGCACCTTTCCTTCCTGCGCCACCAGCCTGCGCTTCTGATGTTTTGTTCATTGTGAAGCTCTGGGGGCCAAGCATCGCAGCAGATGCAGGAGCTCCTAGAAATCAAAGGGAAAGAACAACATCTTGTGCCTAGGAAGCCTTGAAGTGTCCTGGACGGCTGGGGAGATGGGGGAGACTTTCGGGGTGCTGGTGGAAGAGAGCGCGATGGAAGTGGGAGAGCTGGTGGAAGGGCACAGG